GTCCCCCACAGGCCACGCCCCCCGGGACGCCCCGCCCAGATGTGTGCCCGGAGCCCCCGGCCCGGCCCCTCTTCACCCCTCGTACCTGTCCCAGCCCGGTTACTGGGCCCCAGCCCTGCCCTGCCTGCCCTGACCCCGGCACTGACCCCGGCACTGACCCCGGCACTGACCCCGGCACTGACCCCGGCACTGACCCTGGCTCCTGGCTCCCGGCCGTGCTCGCCTGGCCCCGCTGCTTCTCGGCAGTGCGGGCCTCGCACACTGGCACATGGCGGCTCTGCGCACCCTCCTGCTCCTCGGGCTGCTCCTCACGGCGCGGGGGCGGCGGGCGGCGGAGAGGCAGCGGCCGCCCCCTTCCCCGAGCCCGCTGGACAAGGTCGTGGCACCGCAGGGGCTCAGCCTCTCCCAGGTGAGGGGTTGGACAGGGGGGTCTGTGGGCACCCGCTGACCCCGCGCTTGGGTGGGCTTCAGGGGGCCGCAGTGGCTCCTGTTCCCGTGTCCATCTGCACGGGTGACCTCCGGTGTCCCCTGAGACCTGGCTTTGGAGCTCATCCTTCTGTGCCCCCGCCCTGGACTGACCCCTGATGCCCCTCACCCCCAGGCCCTCTCATGCAGCCTGTCCCGTGTGCCCCTCCAGGGCTGACCCCCAGTGTCCTCCCCAGACTCAGCCTCCCAGCCCGAGCCCCTCGGTGCCCCTCGCACGCAGCCAGGGCTACTGGAGCCCAGCATTGCCCGCAGAGCTGCCCACAAGGCAGGCATGAGGGCCAGAGTCTCACATGGACCCCCGTCCTCACCCATCTGCAGCTGCCGAAGGGCGAGTGCTGCCCTCACTCTGGCTCTTGGGTTGAGCTCAGGGCTCTGCTGCTGGGGCTGAGCTGGGGCTGCAGCAACGAGTGATGCCCAGCACACACCCAGTGTGGCACTGGTGCGCCCGCAGTGCTGTGGGCAAGTGTGAGCCATGGGCAGGTGCCTTGGACATCCCCTACACACCCCCAACCTGTCCCCATGCCAGGCTCCCTCTGCCCTGCCATCCCACCCAGCAGCACCTGAAGGGCCATTGTGCCCTGTGGGCACCCTGGGKGACAGGCTGTGGGCAGAGGTGCCAAGTGAGGGGAAGGAGGGAGCTCAGGGTGGTTGAGTGGTGGCACCTCAGGCTGGTGGCCCTGTAGATGGTGCCACCCCTGTGCCATGCAGCTCTCAGGGAAGTGGTTCCTGGTCGGCATGGCCTCCCGCTGCAGCTATCTGGCAGAGCACGGCCACCAGCTAGAGGCCACGATGATGACGGTGACCATCGTGGATGGGCAGAGCCTGGCCATCAGCACCTTCAGGAAGCTGTGAGTGATGCCGGGCACAGGGACCACTGGCAAGGACAGCAATGCTGCAGAACCAGTACCCTGGGATGGGGATAAGGGACACTGGGTGGGACAGGGATGCTACAGGCAAGTCAGAACAGGACTGGTGCCCTGATATGGGGACAGGGGATCCGGGATGGGGTGGGAGTTCTGAAAGCAGGTCAGAGCCATGCCACTGCCCTGGCCACAAGCTCCAAGAGGACAGAGCTGCCTCAGAGCCAAGTGTGTGTGGGATACCCTCTGGAGAGTTTTGTAGTAGAAKCCCTGATCATGATAGGCACCCTGCCACCTGCATGGCCACCAGCCCAGGGTGGGCTCRGGTGCCCAGGATGAAAATAAGGCGTGTGGTGGCTCCATGGCTGCCCAGCCCAGAACTGGCTCTTGGTACTGTCCCAGGGGCAGCATGGCTGAGSWTGGGGACCTTCAGCACATCTGTGGGCACTTTGCCCACCCTRCTGGGWGCTGAGGTGCCRRCCAGGCTCAGTGCTCCAGGAAGGTGGCAGGGACTCCTCGGGCTCAGCAGATTTTGAGGCTCAAGCATCTCTCACAGTGTCTCCATGGTGTTCTGGGACATCTTTCCCTGGGAAGAAAACAAAGTCCCAAGAAGACAGACAGCGTGTGTGCCCTGGCAGGCAGGGACCTGGGAGGATCCTTCCCAGCCTGAGCTGACATCTCCTCCTCTCCCCATACAGGGACAGGATGTGCTGGGAAATCAGGCAGCACTACCTTCCCRCCCAGGCTCCTGGACGCTTCCTGCTGAAGGGTGAGGGAGACAGGGCTGGGGTGGCAGGAGGCTGCTGGAGCCCCCCAGTCCTGCTCTCAACAGGGCTTTGGCTCTTCCCAGTGCCCTCCCAGTACCTTCTGTCTCAGGTCTCTAAGTATCAGGTGCCATCACAGGTACACCATGGGCTGGTGCCTCTGGGGCTGCCCCACTCTGGCCCTGACTGTCACCCATTGTACACCTGGCTTGCAGTGAACTGAAGCCCCTGAATGATGCTGGGACTAACCAAGATTAACCAGGACTAACTGGGCTACTCTCTTGTCTTTCCAGGGCACAGGAAAAACAGCAACGTAGATCTGATGGTGGGTGAGGCCGACCCCAGCAGCTTTGTCATTCTCTATTACAAGGAGGGCCCCAGCATCTCTGTTAAGCTCTATGGTGGGTCAGGGCTCGGGGCCTCATGGCAAGTGAAGGACAGGGGTGGGAAACCTGTGCTGGAATCGGGAGATGCCAGCTGAAGCCTTRGAGGACCCAGCATGGGAAGGGGGGTTGCTCCCCTGATGTAGAATTKTCCCCAGATGATGAAAGGGAGCTGGTAAGGGGGGAACTGGGAACCCACTTCTCTGAGCTCCAGAAAGACTCCTGGACCCTGAGTTTTGTGCAGGGGCATGGGGGGCTTTGGGGCACGGCCTGATAGGGCCTGAGGCCACTGATGTTGTCTTCCTGCATGCAGGACGGACCAGCCTGGTCAGTGACACCATCATGGACAAGTTTGAGCAGCGTGTCAGTGCTGTGGGTCTGAGCACGGATGTGACCTACTACTTCCCCACCTACGGTRGGTGGCACATGGTCCTTGGGGTGGGGTCTGTCCCCATGCTCCGGCCACCCCAGGGACAAAGATGCAAGGATGGGGCTRTGCCCTATAATGTCCTGGGAGTGCAGGGGCTGAAGGGTGCCAGGTCACAGACAAGGTGACACCCCCTGGRCACTGTCTCTTGCAGGGTTTTGTGACTCTGCAGATGAGTTTCACATCCTCGATGGTGAGTTGGGGATGCTGGGTGATGTGCTGGTGCCTCCGTGTGCCAGGCTTGTCCCTGTCCTGGWTGTGGGCTGGGCACTCTGCGTCAGATCCACACTGCACTGTGGCTGTGTGGTCCTGCCCCAGGAGTGTGGGAGGGCTGGTCTGGCAYGGGAGGGACCATTCCCCAAAACACATTCTGTGCTCTTGCATGGAAAACCATCACGCAGGATGGACGTCAGGTACATCCTGGCAAAGCAAACCCTCTTCACCCCGCACACGGATCAGACTGGGTTTGATGGATCTGTACTGGTGTTTTCTGGGATGGGATGTCCTGGCACAGGGACACCGTGGGATGAGGGCTCCATCACTTGTCACTGGTGCCTGGGGAGGCAGGGGTCRATCTCCAGCCCTGGTATTGGGCTTGGACATTCCCCCAGCCCTTCAGCACTTCTCTTSTTTCCAGAAATGAAGCTGTAGGTGCTGACGGAGTTGCCAGGGTGTTCCAGAGCTCAGCCCTCACCTTAGCCAGCTGCCCATGGCCACACAGGTCTGAGCCACACTTTCATCAGCTCCCACTGCTGCTCCACAGCTCAGGAGCCAGCTCTGGGACTCCTCCGCTCCTCCAACTATGCTGGCAGTTGTGTCTGTACCTGTCCTATGCTCCCCAGCTTGTGTACCCTCTCTGCTCTGTGCCCGACTCTCCTGCAGCAGCCAGCAACACCCCAATAAATGCCTCAGAGAAGAGCCTGTGTACAGGTCAGTCATCTCTTGGTCTSCCCCAGCCAGGCAGCACTGTCTTCACCATGGGGTGACAGTGCCTTGGATATGTGCTCCTGGCTGCGGTGTGCTGAGGGGGTGCTTGGGGGCTGTGCAGCTTCCTTCCATGCAGACCCCTGCCATCTCCTCCCTGAGCCCTCCGCAGTCAGGGGACAGCAGGGCAGGAATTGTGGTGGTGCCTGTGGTCCAGCTGATGGGGAGCAAGGGAGGGCCCACACTGAGGGGAGCAGCACTGTGCCTGTGGCCACTGGTGCACAGGCCTGGGGTCACTGGGGACAGCACAGCATCTGCCTTTTCCCCTAACAAGCTGGGAGATCCATCAGGGACCCGAGGAGAAGAAATCTCAATCCCACAGTCCTGCTGCTTCCCATCCCCGGGGCCTCCAGGGCTGGGAAACACCCCGTTGCCTTGGCCCAGCCCTGCRGAGCACATTTCCTGATGGGCTGGGAAGAGCTGGAGCCCTGCCTGCTCAGCCAGCACTTCTCAGAGAGACAGGCAGGGGACTGGGGGGCTGTGGGGGCCTGCACTAGGGAAGAGTCACAGGATTAATGCTGCAGCCCCTCATCAGACTGCTCCTCCCTGTGTGTGGAGCCTGGCCAAGGCTGTCCTGCCACRCATTCCAGGCGAGGGGTGCCCATTGCCATTGGCTTCAAGAGGGGATGTGGAGCAGCCCCTGCAGCTGGCAAGTGGGGGCCCCTTCCCCCCCACAGCCCCCCGGGGCAGGGAACAACCCTCTGCCCCCTGCACTGGCATTTTGCAATCCTAGCAGGAACTAGTAACACATGTTGTTTATCAGGGAATTATGTAAGGGAAGCCACGTGATGTGCCCGGAGCCAGGCCCTGTTCCCATCACCCACATGTGAGGCAGCCGTGTCCAGCCCAGCCCCTGAGCCTGACAGAGCTGGGCTGTGGTGGATCCAGCTCACTTTACCTGCACCCCAAAGTCTCTGCTCTGGTCAGGGCAATAGGGGGCAAGGGGAGAGCCATGGGGAGGTGGGCTGGTCCCCARGGATTCCCCACACCTCTAGTCCCGGCTCATCCAGGGTGGTTGGGGTTAAACTATTTTTGACTGCAAACACCTGAGTTATGCCCAAGGGTCTGTGTCCAGCAGATGTGGGGACCCACAGCCCAGATACCCCGTATTGTCCCCAGCCCTGCTCTTCCTGCCCCATGCTGTCATTGGTGTCCCCCTGCACCCCAAGTGCTCCCATGTTCCTGAGCTTGCACCACCTTTGCTACCCAGGTCCTTGGGCTGGCTCCCAGCTTTGCCAGCCCTAGGAGAGCTAGGCACCACCCAGGTATCCATTGAGCACCCCCTCCTGCCGCCTAGGCAGGGAGCTGGGACTACCTGGCAGTGGGGGTAACTTTGTGTTTGTGCGACAGTGCCAGGTGACAGTGACACCCATGGGTGCTCCCTGCCCCTGTGCCCAATRGAGAGAGTTCCCCCAGCACCCTGAGGATGAGCACAAGGCAAGGCTGAACCCCAGCCCAGCATGTGGGGCCCCAGCCAGACTCTCGTGATGTCCASTCCTGCCTGGCTCAGCTTTTGTTTTGTTTTCATAAATCCATGGGGCCAGGCAGGCGCAGGGTGCACAGGGCAGGGCAGCCTAAAAACGAGGCGCGGGGAAGGGAATGTGCAGGGGGGGCTGCCAGGGGAAAATCAGCTGTTGTGAAAACATGCTCCTTACGTAAAACACCTTGGCAGGGCTGTGCTGTGGGGCTGGGGCTCTGCCCAGTCTGGCCAGCCCTGCCCAAAGCCTGCCAGACCCATGGGCGTTGCTGCTGGCATCCAGCATACATCCCCTGCCCTCACCCTTAGTGCCTGCTGGTGACCCCAAACCAARGGGGAGGGCATCTCCAGCCCCTCTTGGCAAAGGGTGCAGGGTGGTGGAGCGGGTGGAGTGTGAAACTCTGGGGTCCATCTGTCTGCATGCTGGTCCCCAGGGAGCTGAGTGTGGGGGTCCCCGTTTCACCAGTGGGATGCACCAGAGCTGCACCTCAGTGGACATACCCTGGTGACAGCCAGGCCAGCAAAACTGAAGCATGTGGTGGCTCCATGGCTGCCCAGCCCAGAACTGGCTCTTGGTACTGTCCCAGGGGCAGCATGGCWGAGCATGGGGACCTTCAGCACATCTGTGGGCACTTTGCCCACCCTGCTGGGYGCTGAGGTGCCARCCAGGCTCAGTGCTCCAGGRAGGTGGCAGGGACTCCTCGGGCTCAGCAGATTTTGGATCTCTCACAGTGTCTCCATGGTGTTCTGGGACATCTTTCCCTGGGAAGAAAACAAAGTCCCAAGAAAACAGACAGCGTGTGTGCCCTGGCAGGCAGGGACCCTGAGCTGACATCTCCTCAACATTTGCTGGGTGATGCAGACTTGAGTCAGGCAAAGCAGGGGAGCCCGCTGGAGCACACGCAGGTGTCAAGTCCTATGGGCCGGGTTGGAACCTGGCAGGCACTGGACGTTACCTCTGTGTCACTGGAGCCCCRCTGTGGGTCCGAATGAGGCCATCCTGTGTAGCTGGAGCAGCGCTGGCTCCTGTCCGAGGGCTGCTCCCCGCTGCAGCCCGGCAGGGCTGGGGGCAGGGCAGCTGTTTTCACTGCAGAGTTTGGCACCCTTGAGCAAATGTTGTATCCACAGGAGGGAAGCATTCGCAGGATCCCCTGCTTGCCCTTTGGCTTCAGCGCTCTGTCCTGCTCCAGCTTGCATAACGGCACGGGGGGAGGCAGGGCTGGCTCCCTGGGGGCCCTCGCAGCGCCTGCCCATAAATAGGGGCTCGACAAACTCTCCAGCACTACAGCGCTCTGCCTCCAGCTCTGCTCTGCTCGCCTCCATCATGCAGTCCACACTGCTCAGCATCCTGGGGCTGGCCCTGCTCGGGACACTGCATGCCCAGGACAGCATTCCTGTCCAAGCTGACTTCCAGCAGGACAAGGTGACCCAGGCYAACCGGCATCACCTATGCAGAGGTTTGGGGTGATTTGGGGGATTCTTGCCTGAAAGTGTGAGGAGGAGGTGGTGTGAGTGGGTGGGGGGCCAGACTTACACTGGTGCCCGTGCAGCCCCCCATCCCAGGGACCTCCCAGCCCCTGGGTTTGGTGGCTCTGAAGGGGATCCAGCATCCGAGCTCCAGCCTGTGGGGCAGGACCATGGGTTAGTCATGGGTCTGAGCTGTTGCTGTGCTGTGCAATGGGGGTGGGTGCACAGGGATCTTACAGGGGAGAGTGAGAAAAGCAGTCTCAGCCTGACAGCACAGAGATGGTCCATGGCAACTGCTCCCCAACAAAGACCCCAGCCCAGGGCCACAAAAACCAAGGTCTCCTGTGCTAGGGTGTCCCATACACCCCTATACCCCTGGAAAGGTTCTGGGGGACACAGCCACCCTGGGGAGGTGATTGAGATGGAGGGAGGAACTTCTTGCAAGGAGAGGGGTCTGGGATGTCCTGCAAGGGTGATCCCAGCACAGCTGATCTCCAAAGCTGGCAATTCCCCTTGGACATCACAGTACTGGCTCCATACATCAGAATGAGCCGTGCTGCACCCAGTGCACAGTGCTGGCTCTGTACATCATCTGCAATGAGCCGTGCTGCACCCGTGTCTTAACCCCTTCTCAGACCCCCAGATGGATGGAAATGGCATCTCWGAGCCAGGCAGTCCCTTCACACACACTCCCTGGGCTTAGGGCAAAGAGGAAGGAAACACCCAAGTGCTGGGCAGTGAAGGGCATGGAATGAAGCAGGGATTTCCTTGTTCCTGGGTTTTGTGGTTGCCAGGAGCTGTAGCAGCTCCCTGGGAGGTGAGGACCCTGGGACACAGTCTTGCTGTGGAAAATGGGCTGCCAGGGGAGAGGGACATGGCCTGAGCTGGGGTTGGTGGGGGCTGGGGCTGAGGGGTGAGACAGGGTCTGTGCCCAGCTGGGGCTGAGTGGAGGTTGTGTGCAGCTCACAGGGAAATGGTTCACCATTGGCCTGGCCTCCAACTCCAACTGGTTCAAGGAGAAGAAGCAGCTGATGAAGATGTGCACCACCGTCATCTCCGCCACCGCAGATGGGAACCTGGAAGTTACCTCCACCTACCCCAAGTACAGGGCATGGGGAGTGGGTGAGYGGGGAGGGGGTACTGGGGGTGGGCACTGGTGCATTGCCTGCTGCTGTGCTCCCCAGGGGYGATGAGTGCGTGACGAGGAACAGCGTTTACACCAAGACAGAGCAGCCAGGGCTCTTCAGCTACACCAGCCCACGTGAGTGCTCAGCTCCTGTGGGGCAGCCCATGACATGCTCACAACTCTGCKGTCCCTGCTTCTGCCTTGGGGCTGATTTGGAGCTCAGGGCTAAGCTGTGTCCCCTATCCCCCCACAGGCTGGGGCAGCAACCACAAAATCCATGTGGTGGAGACCAACTACGACGAGTACGCCTTGGTGGCCACCCAGATCTCCAAGAGCACTGGTTCCTCCACCATGGTGCTGCTCTACAGTACGTCTGCCCTGGGAGACCCCCATGCTGTCCACCCCTGGGATGTCTGTCTTTCCCATGGGAGTAGGGCAACATCATTTCCCAAGCTGGGGTGACCCATGGRGGGATGATGGCTGGGTTGGGACCCCCTTGCTGGGCTGCCTGTGCCCCTGTGCTGGCAGCTACAGGGTGGCTGCCTCTCACCCTGCTCTTGGCTGCAGGCCGGACAAAGGAGCTGAGTCCCAAGCGCCTGGAGAGGTTCACCCAGTTCTCCAGAGAGAGGGGCCTGACGGACGATGAGATCCTCATCCTGCCCCAGACAGGTGAGGCTGGGAGCACAGGGAGKGTGCCAGGGATGACATTCCCCGAGGGGACTACGGRGGAGGAGACYCTCCTGGCCTGTCCCTGCCTCTCTRTGGGRCCATCATGGGGCCAGCCGTAGGGTCTCACAGCCCCCAGAGGAGCTGATCTCCCCATTTCTTCCTCCCACAGACAAGTGCATGGCAGATGCTGCTTAGGTGARCCCTGCCTTCGCTGGGGCTCAGACCAACCCTGCAGGAGGGTATGGGGGTGCTTAAAGCCACTTCACCACACAGAGCCCCCAGCACCTCCACAACCCTTATCCAGGCTGCTCCTCTCCTCACACCTACTGGGCATCCCCCACCCAGCCCTGTGTGGTGGGTGCCCACCCACTCAGTGTGGGGCTGGCCAGGCCCGTGTCCCCTGTGTGTCCCCCAGTCTCCCACAGTTCAGCCATGCTCACCCCTCATCTTTCCCAAGCGGACCCACTAGCTGCTGCCAGCCAGAGCCCCAACAGCTGGTGACCACCCTGTCCCATCCCACGCCCAGTGCCCCCCCCGCCCCCAGCACTGCAGCAGTCTTTGCTCCCCAACTTCACAACACACATCTCTACCCCGTCCCAATTAAAATGCATGAAAAACCCAGCYGTTGTCTGCAGGATTGTTGTGGGGCAGCCTCAAGGAGGTGATAGGGAGGGGGAAGCACAGCCAGTAGGATTGGGACTGGGACTGGGACTAGGACTGGGGGTCAGGGTTGACCCCAGCTCCTGGCCATGTAGCTGCTGGACTGAGACTCCATGTGCACTCACAGCTCCACCCCATAGTGCTGCCTGGCCACTGAACCRGCCCCCTCCCAGAAAAAGGCTGGGACCCACTGGGGCATCTGCTCCCATCTGCACCCTTGGGTTCTCCCAGGATCCCTGCCTTGGTTTCCCTGCTGGAGAGCAGGCTGGCAGCATGGGAATGGGACGGTGGGCAATCACAGCGGGTCTCCGAAAGTTTGGGGAAGGATGACATGAAGCAGAAGGATGTCTGTGAGCCCTGGCTCAATCCTTGCYATCCCTCTGGGCTCCATCCCATGAACCACGACCCTCTCCAGCACTGGGGTCTGCGCCTGCTGCCACTACCTGGGAAGGCACCACCCCTTTTGAGGAYACTGGGTGGTGGTTAATCCTGGGGTAGAACACCAGCACAACMATTCTCTGGCACYGAGGATCCTGAGGCAGGATCCCTCMCCTACTGACAGACCCTAGAACAAGTGGGCACAGCCAGGAGGGGGCCCCTGGGGTGCATCTCACACCCTTCCCCAGACACAGAAGCAGGCACTGGGCAGCACTCGGTCCTGGTGTGCTTTGGGCTGGGTCTCACACAAGGCTGCATTCGTCTGGGACTGGGCAACTGGGYGGGGACAGAGCCAGCACTGTCACTTAACCTGGGCATAAGCTGCTCTTGTGTAACCTGCGGCATAAAGCTGGAGTGGGCAGGAGTGCTGCAAGCAGTGAGGGCTGTGAAAGTGGGTGCAGCCTCTCCTGCCCACCTCCACCCTGGGACAAGGATGACAGCAGCACTGCCCAGCCTGGTGCTGGCCCTGCTCTGCCTGCTGTGGGCTGGGGCCCAGGTCCTCATGCTGCTGGACTTGGGCACCGAGAAGATAACAGCACAGAATGTGACCTGGCACATCCTGCCTGGGGTGGAGGGGCTGCCTGGGGCAGAGGGCCTGTGCTGCACCCCCAGGTACCGGCCAGACCCATCCCTGAGCCATCTCCAGGAGAGCCTGTGCAGAGYGGGTTAATCCTGGCTGCTGTGACTAGCACCAGCAGTAGCTCCACTGCAGGGGCAGTGATGTCCCCAAGCATGTGGCATTTCCCCAGGGAATGTGGGTCTTCACTCCTGGCATGGGGCAGGACAGGGTGCTCTGCACACAGGAAGGTGGCAGGTCCCCATGGTTGCCTGGCTAGCTCCCACAAAGGCTGGCAGGTCTCCCATCACAGGCTGGCAGRTTTCTAAAATGGGCTGTCAGGTTCCCCATGGTAGAGGACAGATCCACAGAGATGGTGGCAGGTCCCCACAGAGAGTGGCAGGTCCACTGCTGGTTGGCAGATTTCTACAGTGGGCAGCCAGGTCCTCCCGGGAAGTGGCATCATACTGGCAGGTGGCATCATACTGGCAGGTGGCATCATACTGGCAGGTGGCATCATACTGGCAGGTGGCATCATACTGGCAGGTGGCAGGTCCTCACAGCTTTCCCAAATTCCACTAGTGATGTCCTGCTGTAGTTAGTGGGGATGTGGCATGTCACAGCCACCACTTCCAACTGCTCCATCTTCTGGAAGAGGAAGGATGGGATGAAGTCATCCCTGGCCATCATCAGCTTCACGTCAGAGGGGGACCTGGCCATGAAGCTGGTCTGGCCTCTGTGAGTGTCTGTCCTGCTCACCGTGTCCCCCATGGGCCAGGGACTCCCCTCCCCACCACAGCAACTCCCCCAGACTCACTTCCCTGGGCTGCCCAGTCCTGCCTTGGTGCATACCCCTGGGCTGCATGCAGGCTGGGCTCTCCACTGTGCCCACCACCCCACTGTGCTCCCATGTGGCATCCAGACACATTTGTYTTTTTCTTGCTCCTTTTCCAGGCTGGGCAAATGCCAAAAGTTTGAGCTGCTCTTCCAGCAGAGTGGGCAGACAGGGCACCACATAGGTGTGTGTGGGCAGGAGACTTGGAGCCATGAGTACCCTGAAACAGGCAACCCTGGGCATCCCCAGTGCCCTGTGCCTGGAGAGCAGAGGGAGGTGGGCTTGGCCCCTCTGCCTCTGCAGCTCAGTGAGAGGTTGTGGGCGGGTGGGCACCTGGCTCTTCCACATCACACACTCACACTCACACACATTCCACACCACACCCCTCCTCATATCCCCCTCAAGCAAATTTGAGGCTGGAGCACTGAGCCATGGGTCCCAGGAGGGCCCCAGGGGGGCTCAGCCTGTGCCACATGTCCCAGSTGGTCACCTCTGTGTCCCTTAGCAGCATAAGAGAAGAGGGATCTGCCGGTGTGGCAACAGACTGCAGCCTCTAAGCTGTCCTAAGCATGAGACCCAGCACAGCAAGACGGAGCCAGCATGGCACTGCAGCTCCTCTGTGCACATTGGGAGTGGTGACCTGGCTCCCAGGAAGGGATGGGGGCAACAGCAGCAGGCAGGGGCTGGGTTCCCCACCACTACCCAGGGCTTCCAACAGCAGCACCSCATGCCCATCACCTAGGGAATTAATTTTGAGGTGAAGGAAGCCTTGCACTAAAGCTGTCTCTGGTTGGTTGCAGGCTGAACCAGAGCCCCCCCACAGTGTGCCAACCCAGCTGCAGATCCCCAACCCTGCCAGCCACCCCATACCACCCCAGGCAAATGGGTCACTCGTCAAGGGGCTTGTGCCCCTTTKCTGCCAGCCCAGGGCAGCCTGGTGTCCACCCTGCACCTTCACAGCTTCACCTTAGCCCTTCCCTGGGGTCCAGCAGCTGCCMCGCAGCAGTTGCACCTCCAGTGTGGGGCTGACTGCCGGGATTCCTTGCACTCACCAGCCCCCACTTTGGCTGTGTGAGAAGGGCATGAGCCCCCAGCTCCTGCAGAAGTTCATGGAGCTCATCCCCCCCATGGGCCTGACTGAGGACATGCTGGCCAAGCTGCCCAAGTCAGGTGAGTGGGCCAAGGGCACAGGGTGGCAGCTGCCTCCCCTCTGCATGGGGGACTTGGTGCGGGGGCTCAGGATGCTGCTGATGGCACACCCACCCCTCTCTTTGCTTTCCAACAGATCAATGCACCAGGGCCATCAGGTGATTGTAGCTGGAGGAAGATGTGAYTCCCTTCCAGCATGGCCTGGGCTGAGCAGCCCCTCAGGAATCCCCTGCCTACCTCRGGGCGCTAYGTTGTYGCAGAAGGGAAGACTSRGACCACTCAGTATGAGTTATAAGCAAGCTTCGATTTATTGCAAACAATGTCTAAGTTTTATAGCACACATAATTAGCTCATACATATTCTGTAATACATATATCTCATAGGTCCACGTCCTAAACGTCAACTCCACMTTTAATGATTCACTTGCCAATTTCCCTTATCTACTTCCACTTTTTCCCAAGGCTAACTAACACAAGTATCTTGTAGGGAGTTTCCAGCGGCTTAAAAACATGAAGTCCTTGCATTGCTTTCTTATTGCTTCAGAAGAATTGTTCACACAATCTCAGTAATTATTCTAGCTGAGTGCAATACTTGTATTTTTGCATCTGGCTAAGCTGTARCATGTCTACGTGACCCTTTCAGCTAGCCAGCCTTCCACACTATGTCACATCRGCTTTGCCCTGCTCTGACCAGTCATCTGCCTGTTGTGCCTCTGCAGCTGAAGGACCATGTGTCCTCCAGACCTAGTGGACACTGGGCTCTGCTCCCCAGTCCATGGTGCTMCTTCCCACCCTCCCTGTCCAGACTCTGCTCCATACCAGGATCACCCCTCAATCTCCAAAATAAATACATGCAGAAGCTGCCCCAGATCTCTGTGCTTTGTTGGCAGGAGCAGGGGTGCTGCCAGAATCCCCGGACACCCTGAGACCAACAGTTCTGGAGYTGACCTTTCCTGTAAGCTTCCCAGGGTGTTAGGGGGCTCCCTTGATGTGATGTTTGCTGTGCCCAGCATGAGGAGGATGGAGAGCAGAGGACAGGGAAGGTGCAGGGGAGCAGCAGGARGAATGGAGCCCGGGTGAGCGAGGGCTGGCACAGCCCAGCTGGGTGGTCAGGAGCTCTGGGCAGACAGGGTTAAGCAGTCAGGCTGCCCAGTGCTGCCTGCAGGGACTCCCCCAGGACACCCCATTCCCTTCTCAGTCCTCTCCTGTGTCACCCAGCTGGGAGAGGGGCAGCACCAGGGCTGCCTATGGCATGTCTGGGAACCCCATGCCTGTCTGCCACCTGCCGTGGTCCCTCATCCACCCACTGGCCAAAGTAGGGCCATGCTGCCAYGAGCCCCAAGAGCAGTTTTCACCCCCCTCCACCACCTGAAGAGCAAAGGCAGCCTCAGTGCCCAGGCAGGCATGGGGCTGTGACCCCCAGAGCGTGGCAAAGCCAGACCACAGGGGACATCACACTCTGCGAAAGAGGGACATAAAGTGACCCCATCACCTGCCTGCCCTGCTGGCAATGCACCCCCCACTCCGCCCCCGGCAGACCCTGAGTGCCTCMGGGCGGGTGGGGAGGCTGTGCAGGCACAACGGGTCAGCTGTGCCRGGAAATGGCTGGATTTGGGCAGGGTCACAGCAGCTGCCTCGGGGCAGGTTTCAGCCTGGCCAGAAGAACGGGTCAGGGAGTGCCTTGGCCAGCTGGGCAGCGGTACTGCCCCGGGGCCTGTGCCGGGAAGAACACCCCGCTCCTCCTGGCAGCCCTTTTGCAACCCGTTGGAAAACAACGGTTCGCTTTGTTCTTTCACAATCAACTAAAAGAACCGGGGAAATCCCACATTTCAGCAGTGGTGCAACAGTTCCTGTAACCCCGTTTCGGGGCTGGCAGGCACAAACCTCTSTCTGCCCCCAGGGGTTTGTTCACCCTGGGCTGACTACTGCCCTTCCAGGTCACCCCCTTGCCCAAGCCAACCCCAAGAGCCCTCGGTGGGGCTGGGCACGGCTCCAGCAAGAACGGGGAGGAGGGGGGAGAGCACGGAGCTATAAATCTGACAGCCCGGCACCACTCCCCAGGCCACTGGTGAAGCCAGAGGAGCTGAGACGAGATGAGGACCATGGGGCTGAGCCTGGGGCTGCTCCTGCTCTGCTTGCTGCGTGTGCAGGCTGAGGAACGGGGAGCTGGGGAGCTGGACAAGGTGACCCTCAGCGGGAAGGGAAGGGAAGGGAAGGGAAGGGAAGGGAAGG